CCACTATAGGTTTTCTATTTAGGACCAGGACAAGTCATCTGACATTTCTTTGCCCTAGGTTCATGAGAAAGTAACGTGGTTAATGACATTAGAAGTAGTTGGCTATGATAGCCCAGGGTACGGCATGAGGAGGGGCATTTAAAGGAGTAAGAAGGGATTAAACCTCTATAATACAGCCTGATGGTAAAGTTTGCAACTGTTTTTAATCTAAGACTTTCCATGGTGGGTTTTTTTGCCTGGAGTTTTTTCTTGTGTCAGTTCAGCCCTGGGATTTTCTGTGCTTAAGTACCATGAATAATTTAGCATTTTATACACTGCTGTAACATTTCTGTGTCACATTTTTGCTCCACCACATGTAAGTGATTTTGTCAAGGTCTTACTTGGGGGTGGAGCTGGGAACACACGCTGGAACTCCAGGAGAAGCGGACATGCACCAGTGAGAAACCCAGGATGCTTCCTATGACTAAGAGAAGAGCCCAAAGACCTTTTTCCACTCAACACCGAGCCTAGCAGACAAGGCTTGCAAAGCCACATAGTTGAGGAGAGATCATTCAAGGATGCAGCCACAGATGTTTTTTAAAACTTAGCCTATTATAATGACAAAAGATGAACATATTGACCACCACTCATAGTAACTAAGGACTGCAGACTCTGTCAACACCTCTCCCACACAGATAAGCATCCCCTCTCACAACCACTTCTCCTGTTCCAAGCCCTAGGTGCACTGCCCCATCAGGGCATTGCCCCGTGTCTCTGTTCACCCACACTACCTGCGCTTGCCACTCAAGTGATTTCTAAAGAGGTCCCTAATTGGTCTTGTCGCGGAGGAGCAAAGAGTAGGACATTCATGGTGAGATCTCAGTTGGCACAGAAATGGTATTACTTTCCATCACTGAAGCTACCCAGTGAGCCTGATGTGTTTTGGGATGCGAGAGGCCGCCCGTGCTTGGAGCAGCATCAGCAAAGGACAAAGATGGTGAGTGCAGAGTCTTGACCTCAGCCCCAAAATGCACTGGTTATCAAGGCTAAACCACCCCAGCTGAAGAAGGCTGGGGCAAATGCTTTCCACAGCATCAGCAGGGGAATAACAGAAAGAACCAAGCTTGCTTGCTTTTCACCACTTGGGACGCAGCTTGGTGCAATACTTTGACCAGGATCTTGCGTGTAGAACATGCTGTCTACCTTAGAGCAGAGGGCTCAGCCTTGCTTCCCATTTCTTCCATGGGATTTTGACATTGTTTGGGACCCAAAAAAGGTCTGGGAGTTGTATTTTTGAGGCTTTTTTTTCCAGTTGGCTATGATAAAAGCCATGCACTACTTCTGTCAGTACTCACACATAAAAACCACTCTAGTATCTGACATGAAGTTGCTTCAGTTATGAACAGGCAGAAGTATTTCAGGCAATTCTTGGGAAAGTAAGAAACAGATTAACATTTTACAGCCCAAAACCTGATGGTTTTGCTCTCAAACTTTCAGAAATTAATTCTGTTCTTGGCCTCTAGTGCTCCCACGACATTTTAGGCCCAGGAGATTTGCTTGCACCAACTCGGAGAGGAATGAAAATCCAAGATTAAAAAAAGAGAACTGATTTCACCTTTAAATTGCACAGTTCTGACCAGCAGCTCCATAAATACACTTCAGAGCTCAGCGCTAAAACCTCTCGACAGCAAATCACAGGGTGCAGGCATGTGTCCCATGTATCCCAGGCTCTATTTCTTGTGTTCTACATTTATTCATTACACCTCACTGCCCTTTCCAAGAAATGTGAGTGAAAAAAGCAGAACCTCAGCTAGCACAAACTGTCGGCTTAAACCCGCTTAGCATCTGGCCTGAACAACGTCCGACATTTGCAACTTTACATATCTGAACAAAATGTTAAGAGACAAATCAGAGCACAGTGAGATAAGGCAGTGGTGCTGGGCTTTGCTGTTCTTCACAGTTTTATCTGGAATATTACTTTATGACGGTGGCGGAGCAAGTTGCCACTCAACTGAGTTCAGCAGAGAGCATAACCGAGCCCTAAGAGAGCATCACCTCTAGCAAAGTAACCAGAGCCAGAGCCTGAGCCCACGACCATCCACGCTGTTGTACCAGTAACGTGATCCCTGTTCACACCACCCACCCTCCAACAGTCCCCAGGAGTGGTCCAGGGCTAAGCCCAGACCAGGGACTGGTCCCAAAAGCCAGCTTGGGCTCGGCCACTGTTTCTCAGAGGGTACAAACACTTACTGAACACTTGCAGGCCAGTTTATGCCAGTTGGGGCTAGAGAACAGGGATCAGACCCATTTTTATTTCTTAATATGGATGCTGACTAATTCAAACAACCCTCTGTTCATGCATGCCGACTGCTGTTAACAACAGCTTTCTAGGGATAAAAACAGAGTAGAACAAAGTCTTGTGGCTGGATTTACAGAACAGCGTAAAAGTTGACCAGAGCTGACTAATTAAAGCAACATTTACTCAAGAACTCTCACAAAGTTCCTGCAAAACTCGCAGATACACCATCTGCAAACTGGTTTGCTTTTGCTGCATGTAAGCTATCGTTTTAACGAATGGAGGCACACGTAGATTTTTTTTTTTTTTTGCCATTTTTATGTTATCAGGAGGTTTGTGCTGTTTTTCAAGACTTTTGGAAGTGGTCCCAATGATTCCCGAAGTTTACTTTGCTTATTTTGCCAGTAAGCTGTCCGACACAAAGGGTGCCTCTTCCCCACATTGATTTCTTGGAAGGGTCAGAAACACATTACCAGGACAAAGAGGTCTCCAGTTAACCTGGAGCCTCTTCGTGTCACAAGAACGGTAATACTCAGAACCCCGACCTTGTTTTACAAATAGCCAGGACAGTCGGAACACGTCTACCTTGTTTGCCACTCCTCTTACAAAACAAAGCTTTCTATCTGGACACACAGGGACCCGGATTTTCTTTGGCACCACCACTGATAACGGTAACAGTCTGCAGGCAATATCCTTCTTGCCATGCATCTGATTAAGTGGAAATTCCTCTAGGCTTCACCTAATCAAATGCAAGTGCTGCATTATTTATGAAAGAAAGCTGAATTTCATTAAACTTCTTCTACAAGAAGCAGTTCGTGTAAAAAAATCAATTTCTCCTTTCTTTTCAAAATCAGAATAATTTTCTTTAAAAACCTACATTCACAGGTAATTATAACAGAAGTCTTGAAATGGCAAAATTACTTTTAAAAAACAAAAGAGACCAACCCATAAAAGTATATTTTAAATCAGACCGGGATTTCATTTCTGAAGTGAAGACAAGCGAGATGTTGCAGAATGAATAATTCAGATGATTCCTCCAATGCTGTACCTGCAATTGTCAGAATAAATTCAAGCAGCTATCTCAACTATTACAGGTAGAGACTGCACAAGAACTCCTGTTGGTAATTATCCCCACTTCTTTTAGGCCAGCAAAATTCCCTCTAATAACGCTGAACAAAAGCCTTATTGACTTGCACAGTCGAGAGATTTCCAGTTTCACAAGAAGATACCAGGCATAAAACACTGTCAGCGAAATGCTGATGACCATTTATTTTGCTTTTAAATTTGATGCTGTTATTACCTGAAACATTAGTTTAAAAAAAAAACAACAAAAAGAGGGGTTTTGTTTGGCAACAGATCTGAACTACAAGACAATTTCCAGCAAAAAGAGAAAGGGAGGGAATTTGTTGTCATGGCTACAACCTGTAATCCACCGAGAATTTGAATTCTTTTAATTCCCATTGAGAGAGACCACTTCAACAACTGGCAAGCCCTGCTGGCAGTCCTGCCTTTAAACGGCCCTT